CATATAACCAATTCCAACTCTTCTAATACTGCCTACTGGTCAATATGGAATACACTTCTTAATCTAATCAAATCTTATAATCTTAAAATTACATTTCACAAAGTTAAAGCACATCAAGACAATGAACTCAACAGCAAAGCTAATCAACTCGCTCGAGATCACTTAACGCACCATATCTTTCATTTAACTTTTACAACATTTATAATCCATTATATACTTTAACCTTAAACAGCTACCCACTTGAACTTCCTACTTGACATAGTATTAAAACAATTTGCCATGCAAATACTTTTGCCCTTTGGACATCTCAAAACTGCTTGCAACCATGGATGCTTATATCACAGCATATAAACTGTGACGCAACTTGGCTTTATATCAATAACAACTAAAAAGTCTCTAACTTTGTACACAGTTTCCAATTCTCAACTCCCAAATCCTAAATAAATTAAACTATGTCTGGGATTTTAATATTATAAGTGTAAATAAGATCAGATACTCTAAGTAAATATGTTCAAAACCCCTAAAAACTTAACAAAAACTGAAGAGTGTGGTGACTTAGTGAAGTAATGGAGTTGTTACACCCCCAGATAGTAGATCTAGAGTTCAAATCTCACAGATATACTTGCTACCCAAATTAGTGATTAATTCCAAATCCCAAATTCTAAATAAATTAAACCATGTCTGGGATTTTAATATTATAAGTTTTTAATGCCAAAATAGTATTTATTCTTTATATATATCCCAAATTCCAAAATTGTTCCAAATCTCAAACTTATCCCAAATCTAAAACTTATCCCAAATCTAAAACTTATCCCAAATTATATAATAAGCCATATATATCAATTGTACATACATATGCATATATATGTACTTACATATTTAAATAAGCAGAACACTTTTGAGTACTAATCAATTGTGCTTATATAAGTATATATATGTATTTATGTATATTTAAATAAGTAAACCATATTCTAAATAAGCAAAACACCTCTATGACGTTCTTTAATAAGTAATGGATATAAAAAAAAATTCAAGAGCAAGTTTCGCTTTAATTAATTTGCAAAAAAAAATTCTTGTGTTTTTAATAAGTTTTGTGGTTTATTCAATATCTTATATACATAATATATATTTTTTTTAATATTTTATTGCCTTTTAAGTCAGTTACAGTAATAATGACAGAAGACAGTTATAGCACAACAGAAGATAGTCATAGCATTAGTAATATAGCAAATATTTATAGTGATCATAGTTCAAGTGATACTGATGATGGAACTGTTGGCCATCCAAGAGATAAAGTTTGGGAGTACTTTAATAGAACAAAGTATCCTAAAAAGAAATATTATAGTGCTGGTTGCACATTTTGTAATGCAAGTTGAAAACATAAAAACCTACTACTTTAAAGTCTCATTTGGCAGTCAAATGTTTAAAGGTTCCAAATGATATTTGAATTAAATACTTACATACAATAAGTAATGAGAGTAATGAAAGTAATCAGGAAACAGTATCAATTTCAACAGATATTTCAACTATGCATCTAAAAAAAAAATTGAAATTAAAACATACCAAAACATTAACTACTTATCACAATATTGATCAAATTGATGAGGCTAGAGCAAAACAAACCAATCAAGCACTTGTTCATTGGTTTGTGTATTCAGATATACCATAAGTAGCAGCTAATTCACCATATTTTAGTGATTATAACAAGATACTTTGTTATAAATATAACTTACCACAAAGGATAACATTATCTGGACCTATACTAGATTTAGAAATTGCAAATATTACTTTAAAACTTGATAAGATTTTGAAAGATGCTACAAATCTTACATTATGTATGCTTATAATTAATTAAAGCTTTTTATTTTTATTAGTATATCTAATATTAATAATAAATTATATTGTAGGTGTTGATAGTTAGGCATCACCTCTTAAACAAAGCTTATATACTTTTATTATTATATTATCTGATAAATAGCAGTATGTTTATTCATTTGAGAACTACTTTACAGAAACTTTAAATTTTTAAAAATATAAATATTATGGAAAATTATATTTATAACACCGTGTTATATAACACCTTATATAGAATTTTTCGAAAATCATAAATATTTTAAAA